GTTTATTGGGACACCCTGCATGTATCAAGATTAAGACTGTAGAGTAGACTGTACAAGGAATGCTATGCAACTAGGTGTTAATATAAACACTCTTATCTTGCAAGTCATGGAGGAAGTTAAAATGACGGAGTTAAAACTGTAGGGAGGTGGGGGGGTGTTTAACCCTATTCCTGCTGGGGGGGGGGTCAATTTGACCCCCCCCCTGTAGTTTTTTTTACATAACTCTAAAAGTATTGGTCTGAGGCTGTTGAAATTTTCTGACTTTTCCTACATACCCAAAGCCCTCCCTTTAGGCCTAAAACCGGGCTTCAATACTAACTGCCTGACTCCTCAGGCACACTGCCTGAATGACTGCTTTTTCCTCTAACAAACTAAATCTTTGTTTTGACCCACTTTCACTTGTCAGATTTTGATAAAATGTAGATTTTTGGAAAGCCTTTGACATAAGGAAACAGATTGCACAAGTTTTTCACAAAAAAATTGCAAATTTTTTGCAAACAACCTGTCAAAGAAAATTTGCACATTTTTAGTTTTTCTTGATTAAAAATCAGGTTATTTAAAATTTTGCAAAAATTTTTGCATATTTGAAATGGCATGGTCAAGGGCTTTTCAAAAATGTATAATTTGTCATTTTTTGGACAAATTTTTTTTTGCAAACATTTTTACTATAAAACTGGATTTTGCGATAAAAAATTCAATTTTCGCAAATTTGCAAATTTTTTTGCAGATTCTAAAAGTAGAGCACAAGATCTTTCTAATGATGTATCATTTGTCATATTTGGACATAATACATGGGATTTGGGGGGGGGGGCCAAAATGACCCCCCCCAGCATATCCTGGTTTTCAAGTACCCCAGGGTACTTGATAGGGTTAAGCTATCCCTATCTAATATTTTTCTTATTTATAATTCTATTCTTTTTCGCCAAATAACTTTTTTTTCATCCAAATGTAAAAAAAAACACAGCTTACAAAATCCTGAAGACAAAACTGAAGTTTACTGAAGCGTTATGTAATGAACATTTTCAAGGAATCCAGGAACTTTATATAAAAAAGTCCTACAAAATTCTTTAAGATTAATTAAGTTTAATTTCTATACTTTAATTTTATTGAAATAATTAACGACCAATCTTTCAAGTTTTTAGTGAATTCTAGTGAAAATGTTTGTTTTTATTAAAAGTATTTTTGAGAATCCCGGTCTGAACGCAAATTGGAAAGATACAGTTCTTAAATCTATATAATTAAATTTAGTATCCTAGGATAGAATATTATAGGAGTGAGGATAGACTACAAATAAATTTATTAACCCAGGCCATGGACATTTTATGCCATTTAGAAAATAGTTTTGGTTCGTTGGGAGCTCGTTTAATATTCGTTGTGATAAAGTTGGGAGCTCGTTTATCATTCGTTGGGATATAGTTGGGAGCTCGTTTATTATTCGTTGGGATAAAGTTGGGAGCTCGCTTATTATTCGTTGGGATATAGTTATATAGTTGGGAGCTCGTTTATTATTCGTTAGCTTTAAGTTAGGAGCTCGTTTATTATTCATAGGGATATAGTTGGGAGCTCGTTTATTATTCGTTGGGATAAAGTTGGGAGCTTGTTTCATTATTTGTTGGGATAAAGTTGGGAGCTCGTTTATTATTTGTTGAGATAAAGTTGGGAGCTAGTTTATTATTCATTGGGATAAAGTTGGGAGCTCGTTTATTATGCGTTGGGATAAAGTTGGGAGTGAATTATCATTCGTTGGGATAAAGTTGGAAGCTCGTTTAATATTCGTTAAGATAAAGTTGGGAGCTCGTTTATTATTCGTTAGGATAAAGTTGGGAGCTCGTTTATTATTTGTTGGGATAAAGTTGGGAGCTCGTTAATTATTCGTTTGGATAAAGTTGGGAGCTCGTTTATTATTCATTCGGATAAAGTTGGGAACTTTTTCATTATTTGTTGGGATAAAGTTGGGAGCTCGTTAATTATTCGTTGGGATAAAGTTGGGAGCTCGTTTATTATTTGTTGGGATATAGTTGGGAACTTGTTAATCATTCGTTGGGATAAAGTTGGGAGCTCGTTTATTATTCGTTGGGATAAAGTGGGGAGCTCGTTTATTATTCGTTGGAATAAAGTTTGGAGTGAATTATTATTCGTTAGGATAAAGTTGGGACCTAGTTTATTATTCGTTAGGATAAAGTTGGGAGCTCGTTTATTATTCGTTAGGATAAAGTTGGGAGCTCGTTTAATGTTCGTTAGGATAAAGTTGGAAGCTCGTTTAATATTTTTGAAAAGCTTGGAAACTTTGAAAGATCTCTTAACTATCAACTTGACATTCTCAAAATGTGCTCATTACAGTATTTACCATCAAGCTCTCTTCTTAAGATGTGGAATAACCTGCCTCTTGACTTAAAAAGAAGCAACTCTCTAAGTATATTTAAAAATAGACTACTAAATTCTCTTTTTGAAAATTACAGGACAATGTGTTATAAACCGAATTGCTATTCATGTAAAACTAAAAAGATATATTTTAATATGCTTTGATATTTGTTGTGTACATGTCAGAAAATTACTTTAAGCTCTAGTTATTCGAATTAATGTATAAACTATTTTGTATAAGATAAATTCGCACCCTGATCTTTAATCGTTCTCCTTAAATCTATTTAATTGAAATGTTTTGTTATTATTACTAAAATTAGGTGGAAAAAATAATCAAAACAGCCAAGAGCTATTTTCCACCCAATTGCTTTATACTTGTACTGTTAATATAATCCTCAATTTGTAGTTGTAAACTCTGTCTGTATACAGATACATTTAATTTAGCAATAAACTTTATCTTATCTTATCTTATCTAATGTTCGTAAGGATAAGGATAAGGTTTATTATTTGGGATAAAAATCTCTATTTTGTAAACTTTTCCAATGGTTATTGTAATGGCTAATTTGTAATCAATAAAAAAATATATTTATCAAAATTTCTCGATTTTACAATTTGTTTACTTTGTGTTTCAAAATCATTCTATAGTTTTAATAAACTGTATAAACAAAGGAGTATTTTTTTGTCTCAAACTATGATTTTCGAATCCCAAATCTTTGCAATCCAATGTCGTAGACCTTAGATATTTCAACCTATTAATTATTTTAGAGCAAGTGATCTAAGTTTGAAATATCAAAAGTTCACAACATCATGTTGCAAAGATATAGGGATTAGAAAACTGGAGTTGGTGGAAAAGTCGATTCCTGTTTTGCTTTTGTATCTTTCCCAATAAACCAAGGACGATATTTTCTTAAAAAACCAAGGACGATATTTTCCCAATAAAGCAAGGACGATAGTTTAACCGAAAAAATGTCTCACTTAATATCTGCGCCCATGCCTAATATGAAACCTAGGGGTAAACTTATGATCGAATTAAATCAGAAAGGTTTGATACAAACTTTGGATATGAACATCTCCAAGGTTATAATGCAATGAAAGTTATTTTTTGAGGTGTACGCATCTTTTGTACTGCAGTGTTCTGGCTCTGGGCGGTAATGTAAATACAAGACGGATGTCCCAGCCTGACATGGGATCCATCTTTCACATAAAAAATCAATGAAATATTCTTGTCATAGGAAACTATTATGTGAATTATCAAAATTATCAAAATTTAATTCGTTTAACCTCCTCGGATACTAAACGAACACTGATGCATTTATTCTTGTTTACAAACACCGCCCAGAGAGAACTGGTTTCATTATGTACGCAGAGTATATGCAACTGCAATTAACTTTACTTGCATTACAACCTTGAACATTTTCAAGTTTTTGTCATTATGTTATTATAAAAATAGAATCAATGATTTTGTTTAATTTATCATTTAAGGTAATCAATGAATTTTAAAAATGCAAATAAATATTCTAATTTGATAAATCTTGAATGAAAGGTAATCAAGTAAATTTTAAAAACTTTTTATTATTAGGTTACAAATTCATCAGTCACCGATTACAAGTTTTAATGAAATTCAGAAACTAAATGTTGTTAGGTTTTTCTATTTGTAGATAGCATTCAAAAAGCTCAAGTAATACTATAGTTTCAGTAGAAGAAAATATTTCCATTTACTGTTTAGCCCCGATGTAAGGATTCATCTCTAATTGGATGATGAGATAGATAGAAAGATAGATGCTACTGCCAAGCAATTGCTATTGGTTCAGCAAAGACAAAAAAACACATGAACCCTGATTGGATCGGGCGGTAATGGAATCGCATACAAGTGTGAATCGATAAGACGTTTTTCCTTCTGAAAAACGAACTGATCGTTTCGATATCGACATTATAGAAACTTCGAAAAACTATCGTTTTTAAATCAAACAAACCTATTTTACAGTTAAAATAATATTGTAGGTCACAAGCATAAAAAATGCTTGTAATTCAAATTTATAAACTTTTCTTCCTTAAGAAATCATCTAGAAATTAAATATTTTAAAAATAAATAATAATTAAATGAATCAACATATTGTTATTTCGTCTTTTGTTTTCTAAATGTAAAAACTAACAGTTTTTTTTTCTCAGAAAGGAAGTTTGAAAAATCAAAAACGAAACAAAAACTAAATAATTTGTTCGTTTAAAAAACCGATCCCCACACCTATCTGGTATAATATATTCTGATCCCCAAACCTATCTGGTATTATATATTCTGAGCCCCATCCCTATCTGGTATAATATTCTCTGATAGATATGGTTTGGTTTTAGGGTAAGCTCTGTATATCCCAGTACAGGATATTAAATATCATAACACAAAATATTCAATCATTAATAGTAGTCATATTATCACGGAAAGTAGTCAAAATATCAGGGATAGTTGTTATAATATCATGGTGAGAAGTGATAATATCATGTAGAGAAGTCATAGTTTCATGGAGAGTAGTCATAATATCATGGATTGTCGTTATAATATCTTGGAGAGTAGTCATAATTTCATAGAGAGTAGTTATAATATCATGGGTTGTCGTTATAATATCTTGGAAAGTAGTCATAATATCATGGAGAGTAGTCATAATATCATGAAGAGTAGTCATAATATCATGGATAGTTGTTATAATATCATGAAGAGAAGTCATAATATCATAAAGAGAACTCATAGTATCATCAAGAGTAGTCATAATCTCATGGAGAGTAGTCATAATATCATGGAGAGTAGTCATAATATCATGGAGAGTAGACATAATATCATGGAGAGTAGTCATAATAGCATGGAGAGTAGTCATTAATATCATGGAGAGTATTCATAATATCATGGAGAGTAGTCATAATATCATGGAGAGTAGTCATTAATATCGTGGAGAGTAGAGATGTCAACGTTTTGATTTTTCTAGATTTTAGCTTTCGTTACGATAGTGTTCATCAAAAGTATTAACGTTTGAAACGTTACATTGCACATTTTGAAATTTTATGGTATAGAGTAACGTTACGTAATGAATTTTATGCACTTGAATAAATTATACAACGTTAAGCTTTAGTAAATGTTATTGAAAAAACAGTAAGCTCCGTTACGCTTTTGCATTTGATGTTTTAAAAAATTATTTTTTGCAAGATACAAGACAGGAAAACACTCCTAATTTTCAAGATAAAGGTATACACGATGTCATTGGGAATCGAGCATGGCCCTCTTTAAATGGAGGATCACTTGAAATCATCAAAGTGTATTTGACGAGCTTAAAAAATAGACATATTTTGGGACACTTCATAAAATGAGTTAAAATTCGGCAAGGCAAACCACTTTTGCATGTGGAGCAGTAGTTCTAAATTATTTTAGATTAGTTTAGTGTTAATTTTTTCTTTTTTTACGTAATGCAGACTGACCCATTTCTTCTTTCTAATAGAATTCATAGTTTAAAATATCTAAGGTCTACAACATTGGGTAGCAAAGATATAGGGATTAGAAATACAAGTTATTGAACAATTTGCAATTCCTTTAGACATTCTTATCTAACAGAAGTCATAGCTTGAAATATCAAAAGTCTACAACACCAGCTTGCAAAGATTATAATTTGTGGCGAATTTTTAGTTCTTTTTGTGTTTTTTTTATGTTCCTTAGTAAGTGAGTAAAAAGCGGCATTAGCTTTAGTTTTCAAACCACAATAAAAATGTTTTCAGAGTTCATGTTTGGGGTTAAAAATATCAAATATAGTAAGACAAGTGCTTAATTTTATTTTAACACAAACAACGCGAAATAAAATTATTTAACATTTTTTTCTTTTTAAAAAAATCGATTAAAAATCAGTTATTTTTCTATTCTAAAGTTTTATAAAAATCTATTGATGAATAAAACATAACACGCATTTTCCATATGATAAAATATTGTTGCATTTTAGTAAGTATCTACATTTCTAAATTTTTCAACCTAAAACATGAACCATGCCAACTGAAGTTATGATTTCAAGTAGTCAAATAAACATGAAACACAGCAATTGTGTTTGTTCACAGACCCTTTTCACTTAATAAGTTGATTTTTTTGCAATTAGAAAATGCATATGTAAAATTTCTTAATGTTGTATTCCTTTTCCTTAGTTTTAATGGGTTCCATCAAACAATGGCAAATCAAAACCTTTAATGTCCAAGAAACATTTATAAGATTTGAATTTTCACTAATAGCATGTTGCAAAAAAAACTCGTTTACACTTTAGAAAGGAACTAAGTTTTTTTTTTCAAATTTACTAATCCCTATATCTTTCTAACCCAATGGTTTAAACCTTGTATATTTCAATATTAATGGTCTACAACATCGGGTTGCAAAGATATATTATATTAAAATTAGAGTTTTTGGCATAAGCTCATTTTCTTTAAACTTTTAATCATCAGTCGAATCTCTTACATTGATATATTAGAGACGGTTTGAAATGTTTTGATTGACAGAATTATTATTACGCTTTTGAAATTAAAACTCAGCCCTCATAGTCTAACGTTTTAAGAACAACATTTTCATCAGAAATATATCTAACGTTAGACTAATCAATTTAGTATTCAGAGAAAAGTTATGAAACGTTTTGATTTACAGAATTACTTTTTTTAAATGTTATACGTTACATTATTGAAATTTCACTCTGTAAAACAACTTTCGTTTCCTGATCATTAAAATAATAACCCATTTCTGCAACGTTGAATTTTTCATTATACTATAAGGGAAGACGTTTCAAAACGTTTTCATAAACAGTAATGGATTTTTCAGTGATACAACGTTACACTTTTTATAAGTTGAACTTTGAAAAAGAAATCCTTTCGTTACGATATTCAATCAAATCACAATTAATTTTTCATACGTTAGACTTTCAAGCTCCCTTTGGAAACAAAACATTTCTTTACGTTATGGTCAAAAAAGTTGTAGATATTAGAAAAATAACGTTACATTTCCACAAAACGCAAACGTTGGGGGTATATTCCTCTAACGTTAACGTTTAACGTTAACGTTAGGTATGAGCTCCAATAACGTTAACGTTTAACGTTCACGTTATATAGAAAATATCCAAACGTTACACATTATTGTGACGTAACGTACAAAAACGTACATTTTACCTTACGTTACACTATCGTTGACATCTCTAGTGGAGAGTAGTCATAATATCATGGAGAGCAGTCATAGTATCATGGAGAGTAGTCATAACATCATGGAGAGTAGTCATAATATCATGGAGAGTAATCATATTATCATGGAGAGTAGTCATAATATCATGGTGAGTAGTCATAATATCATAGAGAGTGGTCATAATATCATGGTGAGTAGTCATTATATCTTGGAGAGTAGTCATAATATCATGGAGAGTAGTCATAATATCATGGTGAGTAGTCATAATATCATGGAGAGTAGTCATACTATCTTGGAGAGTAGTCATAATATCATGGAGAGTAGTCATAATATCATGGAGAGTTGTCATAATATCATGGAGAGTAGTCATAATTTCATGGAGAGTTGTTATAATATCTTGAAGAGTAGTCATAATATCTTGAAGAGTAGTCATAATATCAGGGAGAGGAGTCATAATATCATGGAGAAGTCATAATATCATGGAGAGTAGTCATAATATCATGGAGAGTAGTCATAATATTATGGAGAGTAGTCATATTATCATGGAGAGTAGTAATAATATCATGGAGAGTAGTTATAATATCATGGATAGTTGTTATAATATATTGGAGAGTAGTCAAAATATCATGAAGAGTAGTTATAATACCATGGTGAGTAGTCATAATATCATGGAGAGTAGTCATAATATCATGGAGAGTTGTCATAATATCATGGAGAGTATTCATAATTTCATGGAGAGTTGTTATAATATCTTGGAGAGTAGTCATAATATAACGAAGAGTAGGCATAATATTATGGAGATTATTCATAATATCATGAAGAGTAGGCATAATATCATGGAGATTAGTCATAATATAATGGAGATTATTCATAATATCATAAAGAATAGTCATAATATCTTGGAGATTATTCATAATATCATGAAGAGTAGGCATAATATCATGGAGAGTAGTCATAATATCATGGAAAGTAGTCATAATGTCATGGAGATTAGTCATAATATCATGGAGAGTAGTCATAATATCATAAAGAGTATTCTTAATATCATGAAGAGTAGGCTTAATATCATGGAGAGTAGTCATAATATAATAAAGAGTAGTCTTAATACCATGGAGAGTAGTCAAAATAACATAGAGTTGAGAGTTGTCATGATATCATGGAAAGTAGTTATAATACCATGAACAGCATATTCATATTATATTACAGGGAGTAGTCATAATATCATGGAGAGTAGTCATAAGTTAACTGCTTACAGTATAAAATAGAAAGGTCTTATCTAAAGTGTGCATGGGTTCACAACCAAAAGAAATGACTGGTTACTGCATGGTAAATGAGGATTATTAAAACTTGTTACATGGTTCATGCAAAATTTAGAAAACTTGTTACATGGTCCATGCAGAATTTAGAAAACGTGTTACATGGTCCATACAGAATTTAGAGAACTTGTTACATGGTCCGTGCAGAATTTAGAAAACTTGTTACATGGTTCATGCAGAATTTAGAAACTTGTTACATGGTCCATGCAGAATTTAGAAAACTTGTTACATGGTCCATGCAGAATTTAGAAAACTTGTTACATGGTTCATGCAGAATTTAGAAAACTTGTTACATGGTCCATGCAGAATTTAGAAAACTTGTTACATGGTTCATGCAGAATTTAGAAAACTTGTTACATGATCCATGCAGAATTTAGAAAACTTGAAAATGTAGAAAAATGTAGTAAACGTTTTACATGGTCCACATAGGATTTAGAGAACATGTTGCATGGTCCATGAGGATTTTAATAAACTTGTTGCATGGTCCATGCAGGATTTAGAAAACGTGTTACATGGTCCATGCGATTTAGAAAACATTTTAAATGGTCCAATCAGGATTTAGAAAGCGTTTTACATGGTCCACGTAGGATTTAGAAAAAGTGTTACATGGTCCTTGTAGGATTTAGAAAACGTGCTTCATGGTCCATGCAAGATTTAGAAAACTTTTTGCATGGTCCATACAGGATTTAGAAAGCTTTTACGTAGGATTAAGAGAACATGCTGCATTGTCCAATGTCCGTGCAGGATTTAGAATATTTGGTCCCGGATCAAATATATTTAGGTAACTAAGCAACAATTGATATCCTTTTTACCGTTGATTTTTATTGTGGGCTATGAACTGTATTGAATAGTCTCCAAGAACTATACTTTTAGCATGGTTACTTGGTTTCACATTACAGTGTACACATCCAAACCTTTCCAGAACAGCAAATATCTATATTGATTCTTTACAATTTAGAGTTTAGGATACTGTATACTTTACTCTCAAACATTGATACTTTAAATTTAGAGTTTATGATACTGTATACTTTACTCTGAAACATTGATACTTTACAATTTAGAGTTTATGATACTGTATACTTTACTTATAACATTGATAATTTATAATTTAGAGGTAATGATACTGTATACTTTACTTAAAAACATTTGATAATTTATAATTTAGAGGTTATGATACTGTATACTTTACTTTTAAAACATTTGATACTTTACCATTTAGAGTTTAATATACTGTAAACATTGATACTTTTTCATATGATTTAGAGTTTATGATACTATACTGCACATTTTAATCTTAAACATTAATACTTTATGGTTTAGAGATTAGGATACTGTATACTTTACTTTAAAACATTGATACTTTATAGTTTAGAGTTTAATATACTGTAAACATTGACACTTTTTCATATAATTTAGAGTTTAAGATACTATACTGCACATTTTACCCTTAAACATTAATACTTTATGGTTTAGAGATTAGGATACTGTATACTTTACTTTAAAACATTAATACTTTATAGTTTAGAGATTAGGATACTGTATACTTTACTAATGTAGATTGTATAGAGAGTTAATTTTTGAACCTTTTCTAATTGAGCTGCGTCATCTCGAGATACTGTACACTTAACACTTTAAATATTAATAGTTCTCTTTAAAACCCTAAAAACGTATTAAATCTTGCCCACAATTAATTGCATATGACTTTGAAATGTTTGCGCAAACTTTAATTTTGCCCCATTTTTTGCGATTTTTTTAATACAGATGAGCTAACATATGCGGAATTATTGTCGGAATAAATTTTGCGCCCAGTGACTCTTCCATTCTGCTGGAACCCCCCCCCCCCCTCACTCCTAACCCATAACCCACCATTCTTACTTTGTCTAGAACATTTAAAGCTGAACAGGAAAGTGTTTTATATTATTTATTGTATTGGCTACACAAAGTTTCATCATGAATTATATAAAATATTAGAAACTATAAACTAGAAACTTGGAACTTTCTTTGTTCTCCTTTAACTTTCTGTAAAGTACAATTTAGTACAATTTAGTACAATTTAGTACAATTTAGTACATGTTCCTTTTAAAACATTTTGAATAGAGGATAAGCATTAAATAATCATTATAAGCAAGATGGGTGGAACTTTTCCTAAATAAGTAGCTTCTTTTTTTAATAAAAACACTATAAAATTGATTTTAAAATATCGAAATTTTTTAGCCTTGCTTGCTTTGGGTTCCCTCAAAAAATGTCAGGCGATTTGGTCTAGCCGTTTGATCAGCTATAGCTAGCATATAGATATACAAATAATTATACAGGATAAAAAGCTTAATATTATAAAGATTGAAATTATGACAAAAACAAAAATATTTTAGAAGTACATTTATTGCTTCTAGATATAAATACATATTAAATAAAGAGTTTATAAAAGGAGAGGAAGTTGAGAAGGTCTTCTCCAGTTCCAGGGTCCGTCATAAGTGATAATCCTCTTTCGGGAATTTCATCCTCTACAATATCGTAATTTTCCAGTAATAATAAGCGGTTTCAAAATTTGTATTCCAGCTGGAATTCAATTGTTGAGCGACTTTTCGTCTTAAAAAATCTTGGTTTCCAAGATCGTCGATCATAAATAAAAAACCTTCAGCTTTAAAACTCAAATTTGTTTTTTAACTTTGCCACTCATCTACATTGGTAGGCGATTATATCAATACAATGAAGACAACTTTTTATTTAAGTTTTAATTGTTTACAAGCTTTTATCGAATTACAAATTTACAATGATCAAAGAGAAGCTTTTAAAAATGCAGCTTCTCATGACTTCTATGTTTTGGTGTATTTATAGGCTTGATCCAAATCAAAATTGAAATCGAAAGTCATATATGCACTAACAACCGTATCATAAATGTTAAATAGGAATGTATTATGACTGAGAGAGAATAATATTGTAGACTATGATATAGACAGGCTGTGTAAACAACGTCTGGCTTAAATTAGCCTACAAGCGATACAAAATCCTTATCTTCATCATATAACTAATTTCTCCATCCTTCTCCCGTTTCCATGTCCATTATGTTTACGGGCATTGACCTACAGGGTGTCCCACGAAACATGATAGCTGGTGAATAGTTTTGAATGTCTTCTTCCATATGCTGTATTAGATATTGAAGACTTTGTGTGCAGTTTATTTGGTTAAAAGCCTTTTACTAAAATATATTTTACTTTAAAATCAATTTTACTATAATATACGACTGTCATATACTATTTTTCATTAGTCTCTTTACTGTCAAACAACTTAAAGATCATGGAAGAAGACATTTAAAACTATTCACCAACCGTCATGTTTCATGGGACACCCTGTAGTTGGGAAGGTATGGCTTGGGTGTGTACTCACTCACCTATCCATATTGCGTAAGCAGCGTAAAAGCATATTATTTTTGCTCCAATGACGCAATTACAACTCAAATTTGCGTACTTCCAGATTTCAAATAAGTGTTAACCCTATACAGGCTGGGGGGTCTAAATCTATGCATATCCTGGGGAGGGGGCGTCACAACCCCCCCCCCCCTAAAAAAGGCCTTAGAGGATAGGTATTGGGTTGAAATGAATGTTCATAAACCAATTTTTAAAAAATCCAGCTCATTGAAAATAGGATTAGGCCGATAACTTTAATAGTTTGGGTGCAAAGGGAGGGATGTAAAAAATGTCAAAAAAAGGGTTAGAAAAATGAAAAAAATAAAAATTTTGTTTTAAACAAATATTAAAGTCCAACACATGTTTTTACATCCATTTTTCAAGGGCTTTTCAAAAATATAGTTTTTAGACCTGTAGCTTTAGTCACAAAAAAGTTTTTTCACAGACCACATTTTTTCCGCTCTGTACCCTACTCTTTGCATTAAAAAGAAAAAAATTACAAAAAATCCTTTAAATTTCTATCCATTAAAAGTCACTCAGTTTAACGGTGATAGGGTAAAAAATGGGAGTGCTTGAAAAAAAAACTACAGGAAGCCCCTAAACACCCCCCCTCCCGCCTGTTTAGTACCAAGCTGTCCCAGACAAGCTTACTGAGGCTCCTGATAACAATATCAAAAGCTGAGTATTATTCAAATGATTTTATTCAACAGTTTAGGTTACAAAGATAACAGGGTTTGACGTAATCTAATTCCTACAATGTTATTGATATCACATGATTCTTAATATCGTGTTCTATATTCATTACACAGTTGAAGTTATGGAGATATGTATTTACAGGATTAAGGAGAATAGACTAACGCAGTTAATCTATTTCTGACGAAATTTAATATCTTAATTTAAGTATGTCGCATGATTTGAGCTAATCATGTTAAGTATTCATTGAAAACGTAGTTTCAATGAATAATGTAATTTATCTAAATTCAGCACATTAAATCATTTGTAATGTACAACGTACTGTGAGTTTATGGAATCTCATGTTTCCACGCTTTTTGCTAAATACTTTGGAGAAAAAATCTCAGGGGGAGCAGTTGAACGAGCGGTTGAGATATAGCATCTACCCAGTCTGGAATAAGACATGTACCTTTTTTTCTCAAAATTAGAATTTATTCAACCGCTGTCCTCGTAATTTTTCATTTCTAATGATTTTTCAGCAACCTTTTTTTGCTTTGAACGGCTCGTTTTCAGATTTTTCAACTCCTTTTTGCTTTCAACTGCTGGGTTTTTAGTTTAAACAACTTTTTGCCACTCATGGAAAAAAGTTTTTTTTGAAAAACGGTTTTGCTCTTAACCACTAAGTTAAAGATTTTTAAGCATTTTTTTGCTTTTAACTGCTAGGTTTAAGATTTTTCAGCAACTTTTTTGCTTTCAACCACTGGTTTTAAGATTTTTCGCAACTTTTTTGCTTTCAGTCACCCGGTTTTTAGATTTTTCAGCTACGGTTTTGTTTTCACTGGATTTAAGATTTTTTAATATTTTTTTTGCTCTCAACCACTGGGTTTTAGATTTTTTGCTTTCAACCGCTAGGTTGCTTTTTACCACTGGAAAACAGTTTTTGGTGAAAAAGTTTTCTTGAAACCGTTGGCTTTAACATTTTTGATGTTAACTTTTTTCCTTCAACTCTTGGTTTAATTCGTTTTATGAGACTTATTTATTCTTTCAATCTAAAACCCAAGAGTTGAAAGCAAAAAGTTGTTTAAAAATCTTAACCCAAGGGTTAAAAGTAATAAAGTTGCTGAAAAATCTTAAGGCCAGTGGTTGAAAGCAAAAAGGAAAAAAAAACATTTTTTAAGTAAAAATGTTTTTCAGTAGTCGGAGCAAAACGTTGTTTAGGCTATATCTCAACAGCTCATTCAACCGCTCCCGCTGAGTTTTTTTCTTTAAAGTATATATATTTCTTTAAATAAAATAATTTCATTAAGAAAATGCACTGAATTTTCTATCAGAAACTTTTAAATATTTTAATTACTTCTGTTAAGTTACAAATATAAACACAATAATCTCCATTTTAAATGTAGTCCCTGATAATAGGAAAACAGTTAAGAAAGAGAACTGGATGAATGATAAACTCTTAGGTGTGAGGACGCTAACCAATAACCAATAACCATGCATGCTTTCATTTGTAAGAGAAATCTAAAGAATGAAAAATTATTGAAATGGCACTAGAAAATACAGCTACAGGCTGTAATGATTACGCAATTTAAATGTCTTCTGACCTAACAAACTAGATGTAGTTAAGCTGACTACTATGTACGTAAACATGTAGTTGTGCAAACGTATGTCTCTCATGACGTAAAAAGAGCATAAAGCTAGACTTTTGTCTTTTTTAAGAAAGATAAGAAGATCAGTATAATAGCCTTGATTAGTTTTATATAGTCTAGTCTTAAACTACTAAGCTCTGTTACACTTGATTCACTTCTAAAAGAGAGCACAGGTTAATTATTGAGTAAGGATGCAGAGCCCTGGAGAGAAACATGTTTTATATCCTTTGCCTCCTCGACAATACGGAGATCCGTCCCAGGTCAACCTCACAAATCCAGAAGAAAATCGACCAACCATTGTTGGTAAAGTTATGGGTAAAGCTATGTCGCAGGCCGGAGCAACTGGAGGATCTGAACTCGGATCTATTGTGGGAGGAGCTGTAGGACCTCCTATTATTGGATCCATCATAGGAAACCTAGTTGGAGAGAAGATTGGAGAAAAGGCAATTAATGAAACAGGATTGAATAAGTTCGCAACAAGGACAGGAGACAAGTTGTCTGATGTTATAGGAAGAAAAAATGTGGAGAAGATGCATGAAATAACTCTGGGTGTTCTGGGATTTGGTGAGACTGAAGAATGCGTGTGCTGTCCTTGTCTGCCTGCTTCTCAGGTTTTATTGGTTCTGGCTGTTCCTTTTTTCTTCTTCAACTGCTATAAATTAGTTTTAGGTGTTTCATACGACTCTGACTGTTCTAAGATAGGTCCAGATAAGAATTTCACCTTTAATTCCACAGAAGATATTCCTGATATTTTTCCTTGTGAATTCGGTTTCCACTACTTGGTTGTATCTGGAGCAGTTTGGATTGCTCTGCTTCCGTTCTGGATTTGTGGATTGTTTCTTGACTGCTGGAGACAAACTTGTGGTTGTTGTTGTGATCCAGTAGTTCTCTTCTCTACTGGTGTAGATCTACTTCAGAGATGCTGTTGTGAGTTCGGAAACTTTAAACTTTGTGAAGTTCTCTGGATGATTCATTGTCTCTTTCATATGGTTTGGTCTGTTTTAGCCTTGGTCTGGTTAATTGGTCTGCAGGTGGATCAGATTGAAGTTCTAGGTTGGAGTGTTCCTAAACTTGTCTCCAATACCGTTATTGCATCCATAGTTCTAGATTTTGTCCTCGCTGGATCAGAACTCTTTCATAAAATCTGGGTTAAACTTAGAGCAGGGAAGACAGATAAAGACTTGGAGATGGAGTAAACCCTAACTGAACCAGTCCTCATCCTTACACTCAGAGACAGGAGATACATAAACCTTGCTGAACTCGCTGAACCAGTCCTCAGCTTTACTATCATAAACCTCTCCATCCTTACTATTACAGAATTGAGATAAATACACCTTACTGAATTAGTTAACAAATATTGCCCAAGATATTCTAACAAAAAATTAGTTTAATTGTTTGCCTCATTGCTGTATTATGTTTTTTTTTAATGATAGTGAACTTTTTGGGGTAAATAATCAATAATATATATTATCTATTTTCATTTGATGGCAAAATAAGAATTGATAAACATCTATATGTATATAGCGAGCAGTGGTAACTGGAGAAATTCCAGAAAGATAAACTTTAGCGAGACAAAGTCAAGATATTGAAATAGAGTCTTTGCCACAAACTCAAATTTGCTAATCCCTATATCTTTGTAACCTGATAGTGTAAACCTATAATATTTCAAACATAGATTATTTGATCTAACAGAGCTGCTAGTTTAATATGTCTCAGACATGAATTGCAAAGATATAATGATTAGAAAACTCAATTCCTCTTTATTAAAATAATGTCATAAATCTATTTTTAGAGTGTGATTAATGGCTCCAAAGGAACCGAACACTATGGCTAGGAAATTTAGAAAATTCCAGTTTTTAAATATTTGGAAATTTTCTCTCCAGACATAGTCCTGTTGCCATTCTAATTTAATGTTTTAAAGCAAATATGCATGACGGAGTTACCCAATTTGCTGTTTAGAACAATGAATAAGGATGAAAAGGGGAATAGTGTTTCTCTTCTTCCAGTTTTAAGTGTTCTAACACAGCTAAGGTTGTCTGAGCTTCAATTCAATTGCCACTGTGAGAACAGCAAACCAGACTCAACTAACAACTTTTGCTGTTCAAGGTGAAACATTAACCCTATCCCTGCTGGG